TTACTCTTATAAGGAATATTTTGCATTCTAGGCTTAGTGTGTGGATTTAGGGCTAACAACAACCTTTTAACGCTGAGCCTCGAGAGATATTATTGGGGTTGCGGCCGAAAATATAGTTAATTGTAAGAATACCTAACTTATGATTCAGTTATTAAAGTCAGTTTATCATATGCGACCAGAACAACGGAAAATATCACACACGTATGTAATGTAGCTTAAGACCTAGCCTCTAATACACGCCGTAAAACCCAGTCTCAAATTAACTAGGCTGTTTTCTGTAAGATGAACTTTATCGGATAGTTATTAAGGAAACATGAAACCGGTGATCATTAGTAGAGGTTATATATCTTTATACGTTTTTATGTCACTTATGCCACCGTCAAAAAAAATGTTAGTCCTCGGGTGTATATTAATACTTGTGGTGGTTGAGAGATGGAATATTTTAATCGATGTTGAATCACGACATAAGAGGGAATCCTCAATAGCCGCTGCTGTAATTAGATCCCAAATCGGTCAAGAGATGGAGCCATGAGCTGTACGTTTGCACTTGAAAAATAGTAGGGAATTCTCAGTAGCCCCGCCTGTAATTGAATCCCAAATCGTTCAAGATATGAAGCCATGAGCTAAAAGTTTGCACTTGAAAAATAGTAGGGAATTCTAAGTAGCCGCGCCTGTAATTAGATCCCAAATCGGTCAAGAAATGGAGCTATGAGCTAAAAGTTTGCACTTGAAAAACAAGAGGGACTCGTCAATAGCCGCGGCTGTAATTAGATCTCAAATCGGTCAAGAGATTGAGCCATGAGCTGTTTGTTTGTACTTGAAAAAATATTTCAAAGCCATTCTATGAGCTGTTATGCCGCGGCTAAAAATCTTGTGTTGAGGGATGTATATGATACAAGACTAGACGGCTCGTTAGATCTGTACAAAAAACGAAACTTCTGACGTGTGTGTGTGTTGGAAAGGACTTACTTGAAGACTTGATGTCGTCATGTCCATCTCTCCACAGATGTCAACAATAACAGTGAACGTGACGTCACGCTGAGCATCAACAACTGTCGGACCGTGTATGGTTAGTGCTAATGGGTTGTTTGTACGTCTAAACCGGTGGACGGATGGAAAATAAGATTCACCACCGAAACGATTTGTGGCTGTCATTATCACCACGTAATCAATGTCTTTCTTTAGCTGGAATATATCAAGTTTTAAATATTAGTTTTAATCTGATATAAACTACAACCTCAGCAAGCATAAACATTTTATACTTTCTGTAAGCGTGCGATTCTCTTTACGAAACTGTTCACGAGAAATAACGATAACGAAGTTTAAAATAACGGACAGAGCTTGTTAGTAACCATAGAATATAGCTTGTTATTTAAAAGAATAAAATTTAATTCTACGTTCAAATCGCGATGATCAAGCCAATATTTAAGCCTAGGATATTATATCGTAAAGACCCTCTTAACAAGTCTTTAGTAGTTGATTTGTATGAGATTTTGTTAATAGTAAGAAGACGAAATATGATCGTGTATTTCAAGATAATGGTTTGTTTGTTTGTAATTAAGCAAAAAGCTACACAGTAGGCTATCGGTGCTCTGCCCACCACGGGTATCGAAACCCAGATTCTAGCGTTGTAAGTTCGCAGACATACCGCTGTGCCACTAGGGGACCAAGATAATAGACAGAAAGAGATACCTCACAAGAATTTTGTGTATGATTTTACAATAGTATTGCATTGAAAGCTTCGTATCATCTTAATCACTTTAAAATACATTATAACTGTAATGTAGAAAAAGTTATAACTTGGGAGAAGATGAGATAAAGAATTGAACTGATTTAAGGCTTAACGACTTTTTTGTATTCATTTTCCGAATATGGCAGCTTGAATTAACCTTAATCATGAATTTACTTTTAAAATATTGGCATATCTGTTTCAGATATCTTTATATTGACTTGTAACTAACCAGCGATACAAGTTATATGATATATGTTGCCTACGTATATCACACACACCTGAACCCCCTACTAAACTCGGGAAATCAAAGCATCACTGTAAACAGTTACTCAATTAATATTCTCAGTAGTGACGTTTCATCTTCTTCAATATACACTGTTCAGAATAAAAAATAAATAAATAAATTAAAGGCTCGGAGCTACGTTTAGTTCTTTTTTGTAGTTCAAACCAATCTTGGGGAATTTTACCCTCAGTAACTTTAAGATTAACCAAAGACAGGGTATTTTGACCAGGCCTATTTCAAGAAAATAATATACATGCATGTTATTATTGAACAGAAAATATTAGTTTACTTATATATATATATCATTGATATCTATAGATGTGTCTGAACCAGAAGTATTACATCTCACGTAAATATTGTGTCAATTGAAGTTATTAGACCACATCCACAGAGAGGCCTACAAATTATAGCACTGTATGCATCATCAAAGGGAAGTGTTTGTACAGGAACAGTCACAGCAGTATTTTTATTGTCTGTTAGTGTTCACCTGAATAGAGACTGCTGATGTCAGGAAATGTTATTTATTCTACGTGTTCTAAAGCCCTTTGACGTTTGGGCAACCCTGTGTATACTGCTACATTAGGTCATTGAATTATTGACGAAGTGAAAACAGAAACTTACTTGATCAGTTGAAAACGACAACAGTTTTGGATCCTCGGTGGAGCTTTGTTGTAAAATCAGTCTTTGCAAGTCATGAAGACCATAATATACAGTTGGATCTTTCAGAGGAAAAAATATATACGAAACTAATTACATTTAATTACAAGTTTGATAAAAAAAGGTTAATAATTGAAATGACTACACCATAAGTTTTCAAGGCTATCGAGGTATGAGTAGTATATTTAGGAGACTAGTAGTGTGTGTGTGATCTTTGACCTCAAGATGAGGGAAAAATCAAATGCGTCTTGTCTCCAAGGTATAATACTGGTATCCTAAGCATGGAGTACAGATAAGTAACCAGATTTCAATATGTTTATTCTAGTAAATGATACTCTCTTCGTATTTCTAACATGTTAAACTCATACTCTGTTTGTATTTCTAACATGTTAAACTCATACTCTGTTTGTATTTTTAACATGTTACTCATACTCTGTTTGTATTTCTAACATGTTAAACTCATACTCTGTTTGTATTTTTAACATGTTAAACTCGTACTCTGTTTGTATTTCTAACATGTTAAACTCATACTCTGTTTGTATTTCTAACATGTTAAACTCATACTCTGTTTGTATTATTTAAATATACTTATTTGATAACTTCCAAAGAATACTTAGCAGGTTCTTAACAGTTAACCCTCGATAATTTTCTTTACCACTTACGAGCGAAAGGGTATATAAATTTTAGCTAATCAGGATCTAAAGTTAATTATCATCCAAGTTAAACTATTGGGAAAATATTATAAACCCAATAAACTGTAGAAAGGATGAGTTACTTAGGAAAGTTGTATAATTATCAAACAACAGTTAGTTGGAATTCTGATGATTCTACTCTGTCTTCAAATACATATATATATCTGATTCATCGTGTTGTACTAATTTATTTTATAAATTTACCTGAGGTATTGGTTGGATAAATTGTCCGGAAGTAATCCATATCATGGCATCCGTCAGCTGTGACGTCAGTCACCGTGATGTTAATGTTTCCTCCACAAACCTCTCTTGGGCCGAACAGTTCAAAATATGGAGTAAACTGTTCAGAGTTTATACATCATCATAATGTGTTATATGTTTTCAGTTATAACAAAAGTCAATTAAAGCTTTTCAATAGACCAATCATGTAAATTATTTCAACCAATAAGCCAGTAGAGGGAGTTAAGAAGACGGCATGGAAGAAGGATGGAATAGCGTAAAAAAATGTACAAACAATAATAAATATATATTACCGTAAATCAGCACACAACCAACAATGAGTGTACTACCAATATGTATAGTACCACCAACAAATGTGTTATCACTAATGTGCATATTACCACCAATTAGTGTCTACCACCTATGACCGTATTATTATCAATGAACGTATTACCACCAATAATTGTCAAATACTAATGACCATATTATTATTATCTATGAATGTATTACCATTGAAAAATATATTTTCTTTGTGATAAGAAATAGCTCCTAAATTTATATCTTTTGATATTTTTTTCTATATTCTACAAATACCTTTATCAATATTTAAGCGATGGGGGTTATATGATTATATATATATAAATGTTGACTAAAAGGGGTGTATTGTTGTATCTGTTTAATTTAATTTTACACAAATCAACTGCATTATTTCAGTTACTAATAAAAAACGAACTGATATTATCTCTACTGCAGCTCCCTCTCTCGGCATTAGGAAGTTGTTAATCAATAGGTCAATGTCATCCACTGTAACCATCTTGGATACTATTTTAGTTGTTGTTGTTTTCTTACATTACCGGATTATTACCTTCTTAATAAAGATACTTAATAGTCTGATCATTTCTGTAGTTGCATTCATCCCTTGATTTATCATTAAGGCTCCCAAACTGATAGGGTTTTTACAAGCGTGGCTTATCTTGTTTTACTTAAGCCTTCTCATTTACAGTAATATCTCTTTGAAATAATGTTAAATTACCAAACAGACAGCTCCCTCTACCACCATTGTCTTTTCTTCTAGTTTTATTATTTGCTGTCCTGAGTCTCCCTTCTATTGTAACCATTATTTGAAGTATTGCTAATGATAACGAAATACATGCTCTCTACCTACCATCACACTTTCTTTCTGTTTGTAATGTTGCTTGCAAGACTGTTACCATTTTTATAGTACTATCAATAATATTGGATCAACAGCGCCCTCTACCATTACTGTTTCATCATTTAAAACAGGACTTACCGGACTGACTGCCTCTTCTACTGTAACCATTCCAGTAGCTTCTAACCCTAATTCAGGAGGAACGTCTCGGTTGTAGAGTCCGTTACCAGGCAGAAAGGTTAAAATGTCATACGGTATTATACGGGGTTCTCTTCCAAGGTGAATTGTCAGCGTGTTTGCAATACTGATACATGTGGGATCTGTATAAGAAAGGCAGAGAACACAAATCAGTTACGGATGAAATCATGATCTCCAGACAAAACAAAAACAACAACATTTTTTATTTGATAGATTGTTTAGGCGTAGTATACTGGAAATGATGAAAACTGCCAGTTTTATAAAACATAAGTGTAGAGGACGACGTTTCGAAAGTCTTTTGTCTTCAGGTTTTCAGGGACCTAACGACTTTCGAAACGTCGTCCTCTTTACTTGTGTTTTTACGACAGGCGGTTGCCATCCATTCCAGTTTACTCGTGAACAACTTTTTTTTTAATTTCTTTCTTCGACATTTCTTTTTTCATCGCTTCCATAAGAAATAATACTTCTTATTTATTCTCTTGGTCTTATTATTTCATAAAAGTCCCCGAATTTTCCGTTCTTATTTCGCCTAGAATTGTTTGTCAGATAACTTAAAAACATAATGGATGCATGTTTACCCAGTAAGAAGTTATATAGATAACCATGGTCAAAGACACCAGGAATATGCAGCACAGTGTAAGTTGTATTGATGGTTGATTGCATGATAGCGTACTGCACGAAGGTTTATTTATACCACGGTATTTTTATACGTTATGATAGTAAGTTTTAAAGAAATTGTAAGGAATAAGTAGATACTTCCATACCAGTGATTGTGGAGGGTTCATTGATTTTAAATGTGTACAGCAGATTTTATTTCCCTACCAATGTTATAGGTACAAAGTTAAAGACGACGTTTTCGTACATTTGTTTAAAACCTAGCCTAGATATAATTATCTTTATCTTCATGAATTAGTTAGAATATTTCTCATTTAGTGACAACTCTGCATACAGTGAATGAAAAAATCAACGGTACTTTAAGGTGCCAAATCAACAACCTTCTGTTGACGTTATAATCAACTACTAACTATCCAAGTTTTGTTGACCTCTGTTAGGTCGAATTATTTTTTTTTTTTATGAGATAGGTCGATGTAAAAGGTTTCCTTTATCATTCTTTTCACGTGAGTGGTTCATATCATATTTTACTGTGTGGCCATCTTCTCTGTCATTGTGCTCGTGATTTCTAGTGTTGTTGGTGTTTTTGTCTTTCCAGTTCAATAAAAACTTAGATAACGATTTACTTTAATCTTAAAATCCCCCGTCATTCTATGTGAATCTAATTATTGATATTTAATTCTAAGCAAAATGCTGTCTTTGTGTGATTCACCAATAAGATATTCTGACTATACGCTTTTTTTTTCCTTACTAGGCTCTTACCTTCTCCCAGCAACTCCAGACTTGATTGGTTGAACACGTCACTACAGTTGACCAATCCCTCAGGACGAAGACTGTCAGAAAGCGTTATAAGAACTTTGTCAAGACTGTCAGCAAATCGTGCTGTGATTGGCTGGGGAGCTTCTGGTGGTTGTATGGTCGTGGTTGTTAACTGGATTAGAAACAAAACGAAAAATGTTAAAGAGCGAAAGGGGAAATAAATCAGAGTTTAAAACCTTAAAAAAAACTTTTGTTAATGAGATCGTTTATAAAAAAAATCAAATTATTCCGGACTAATGTTAAAAAATTGGTTTTGCTAATTTTCCAGATCATTTATGAACCTTTTAGAAAGAAACATAAATTCTCAGTGAAAAGACCACGAAACGGTGATGTATTCAACATCATAATTCCACATTCACTCAACAGATGGCACACTAGATATATTTTTTATTTCACCAATTGAATAAAAATAAATACAGTAAAATAGGTGGAGAGAAAAATAGCTACATAAAAAAGACGATAATTTATGATATTATTTTTAATTTTGGTAATATCACGATAACGAACAGATAAATTAGATAATATTTGTCTTACTTACAGAATATGTAGTTGGCTCAGCAGTTGTTGTGGGTCTCTCTGTAGTGGTAGGTTCAGCTGTTGTAGTTGGCTCAGCAGTTGTTGTGGGTCTCTCTGTAGTGGTAGGTTCAGCTGTTGTAGTTGGCTCAGCAGTTGTTGTGGGTCTCTCTGTAGTGGTAGGTTCAGCTGTTGTAGTTGGCTCAGCAGTTGTTGTGAGTCTCTCTGTAGTGGTAGGTTCATGCTGTTGTAGTTGGTTCAGCAGTTGTTGTGGGCCTCTCTGTAGTGGTAGGTACAGCTGTTGTAGTTGGCTCAGCAGTTGTTGTGGGTCTCTCTGTAGTGGTAGGTTCAGCTGTTGTAGTTGGCTCAGCAGTTGTTGTGGGTGACCTTGTTGTGGTTGGCTCAGCAGTTGTTGTGGGTGACCTTGTAGTAGTTGGCTCAGCGGTCGTTGTGGGTGACCTTGTAGTAGTTGGCTCACCAGTCGTTGTAGGTAACATTGTTGTGGTTGGCTCAGTGGTCGTCGTGGGCAGCCTTGTTGTAGTTTGCTCAGCAGTCGTTGTCACTAACATTGTTTCAGTAGTCGTTGTGGGTAACTTTGTCGTCGTGAGCATCTCTGTCGTGGTAGGCTGAGTTGTCGTAGTTGGTATTTTACTCAGTATCGCCCTAAGACATACAAATAAATCAAAAAAAGGCTTTTGTTACAAAGGGTATTTTTGCCTTTACCTTTTTTTTTTCTTTAGAATATATATCATTTTACAGCATGAATAATGATATCTTAAGTAAATATTAAGAACTACATAGTTTAATGTTTATTGAGGAACCTACTGAACTGAATAATTAATTCAAAACTACAATAAGAACTTTTATAATATGCAAGTTCTGATTTAATAATTAAACGTTTCGATCCATAGTATCGAGTCATCATCAGGTAGAAAATACGTTTTAAAATGTCAAACTTTCGCACGATGATGGCTCGATACTAGGGATCGGAATATTTAAATTAGAACGTGCACACTGTAAAGTTGCTGTTATTGTATATTCGACATTATTAATTAATTTAATAATAACAGAACAGACAATAAGTCACAGGATCGTTAAATCATTTTGAAACGTTTTGTGTGAGGTCGCTTTAGTTACTGCTTCGAATTACAGGGGCGACATAAAAACGAAGGTTTGGTTTGAATTTCGCGCAAAACTACACAAGGGCCATCTGCGCTAGCCGTCCCTAATTTAGCAGTGTAAAACAAGAGGGAAGACAGCTAGTAAACACCACCCTAACTCTTGGGCTACTCTTTTACCAACGAATAGTGGGGTTTACCATCACATTATAACGCCCCACGACTGAAAGAGAGAGCATATTTGGTGGAACGGGGATTCGAACCCGCGACCCGTCAGATTGTGGGTTTGTCGCTGGGTTTGCCGGGTCTGAAAAGCCAAACTCAAGTAATAACTTTTCTTTCACATCATCACTATTCGGTAAGCCAACGTTTCCCAAAGTATGGGGCGCCTCCCACAATGATCTCTTGTGGGGGCGTGAGCAATTAGGGTAGAGTCGGTAGAGCAAGAATGCAAAATTAAGTGTTTTAATATATTCTGTATTAATGAAAATGATAAGTAATTACTACAAGACATATATAGCATTTTAATTACATCTCGTCATTTAACTTACACTTTCACTCACTTAAAAAAAAACATATTTGGGGGGGGGGCGTGGATGACAAACATTTGGGAAACGCTGCGGTTAAGCTTTTACTATAAGGAAATAGCATGGCACATCGTTATGCGCGTGTGTAGCTTATGCAGAGTTACTAACTACCGAGACAAGTATTCTCTTACCCATAATAACCGAAGGTGTGGCAGGCACAGGTGAGGTATCCACTTATTAGATTCTGTCCTCGTTTTTCACACTCATCTGTGTCCCACGCCAATGTGCTCGGATCAAGCGCTCCACACTAAAACAGGGTTAATTATTCCATTTTACATCAAACAAATTGCTGGTCCAAGATATGTTAAAGTAATTAACTAACCTTCTACTTAAATAAACTGATTTATTTAACACTAACTGTATTTTTTTATCTTAAATCTTCCACTTAAACAAATTGGTTGATTTAACAATAACTGTATTTTTTATCTTAAACCTTCCACTTAAACAAATTGGTTGATTTAACACTAACTGTATTTTTTTATCTGTAGATTGTGCGATATTATATGACAGTGAGACTGATAATAATGTTATCCACATCATTCTTTCCTGACCCAGGTGTAACATTCTAGAAAGCTGTAGGGGACAGGTAAAGAAAGATGCGATTAAGAATATTATCAGCTTCTCAAAAGGCTGTTTTTTATCCATTAGCGGAACCAAACACACAATTGTAACACAATATGCTCCCAAGCTTCCCGCTGAACAACCGGAGGGCATTATCATGTGATCTTAGTTCACACAAACTATAGATCAACAAATCACCGTTCACCAGTCTAGGTGTTATATAGATAATCCTTCGCCAGCCTAGGTGTTATATAGATAATCCTTCATCAGCCTGTGTGTTATATAGACAATCCTTCGCCAGCCTAGATGTTATATAGACAATCCTTTATCAACCTAGGTGTTGTACAGACATCCTTCTCCAGTCTACGTGTTATATAGATAATCCTTCATCAGCCTAGGTGTTATACAGACAATATTTCGCCGGCCTAGGTGTTATACAGACAATCCTTCGTCAACGTAGGTGTTATACGGCACACATTTCAAGTTCACTCATTAAAGCTCAAATTTCAATTCCTAGTTTCCAAGTGTCATATGTATCCTAGAATTTTCGGCCAATGCTTATATTTCATTAAATATCTAGTATTTCTAATATATTTATAAATTAATATTGCCACTTACCACAAGCATTTCATCCCACTTACCACAAGCATTTCATCCCACTTACCACAAGCATTTCATCCCACTTACCACAAGCATTTCATCCCACTTACCACAAGCATTTCATCCCACTTACCACAAGCATTTCATCCCACTTACCACAAGTATTTCATCCCACTTACCACAAACATTTCATCCCACTTACCACAAGCATTTCATCCCACTTACCACAAGTATTTCATCCCACTTACCACAAGCATTTCATCCCACTTACCACAAGTATTTCATCCCACTTACCACAAACATTTCATCCCACTTACCACAAACATTTCATCCCACTTACCACAAGCATTTCATCTTCGCCAATTTCGAAATTTTCCACAGAAATGTTGAGAACAATGGGGACCAAAAGTGGTTCAGTTGCCATCTGGTGGCCAGTAATAGGATTAAAAAACTGAAACAAAACAAGAGGTCCGCGTAAAACTTCCCCAACAGCTGACGTTGCTACATCTGACTTCACTTCTGCGGACCCCACACATGCACTGTAGCATAACTGACGATTAGAACATTGCCAGGCTCTGTAGGTGTCAATAATCTCAGAGCCCAAGATGGCCTGGAACGATAATAAAACACAAAGCTTTCATTTAAGAAGAATGAGAAATAAATTAATAGTGTTCATCTATCAGAAAAACATTAAGTAATAAAACATTCTTTTAAATATCATTAAG